GCCCCGTCGGTTCATTCCCCCAAAAGCATTGAATGCACCGCCGGTTCGTTTCCCAAAAAACATTGAGTGCACTGCCGGTCCATTTCCCCAAAAACTTTGAATGCGCTGTTAGTTTCATCGCCATTTCTATATAAGGATTTCTGAAACCAAAGCTTCATTCATTCTTTCTTCAACAATCTCTAGTCCTTACCTTTCTCTGTATCCTCTTCTGATCTCTTACCCTTATGGTTCAAACCTGTGACCAAGAGGTCATAAGGCAGCAACCTTATCAGTCATGCCATGGCTCCTTTTCGAAGCCCTTCCCCTTTAAAAGGAATTATGCTGAGTTGTTGTTGTTGTTGTTGTTGGACCGAATCGATGAGAGGAGGGCATCAGATTCTTCCCGTATCAGAAGATATGTGGACTGTAAACCGCTGCTCATCTCTCTTAACTTCAACCTGGTGTGGCGCTTCACCCACTTTTGCTTTCCACGGGGTGAGGTGGCACTATCTACCAACTTTTTCATCCCACACCGGTGCAATATCTCAAGAAGTGGCTTCACAATAGTAGTGCTGACGAGACCAGTACTCGCCAAGCTTCTCACCAGGCCACAATTCTCCTTGCTTGTCAAAAGCTTTTGCTCTTTGATAGGCTATAGCCTTTTCTTCATCTATTGCTGCTTCGGAGGAGGTTCTCGAAGACAACGTTCTAAAGATCGAAATGAAGTCCCTGAGAGAAAGGTTCTCGAGGATGCTGCCTTTGAGGACGATCCCTCAGAAGTAGATTAGGCCTTTGGTTGTTGTTTTTTCCTTCTTTGTTTCTGTGTAATGGCCCCTCGTGGGCTTTGTAAAGCATCATTTATTAATATAAGAATTTCTTCGTTTTTCCTTAGATTTGTGTTGAACTCCATTCTTCTTTCGTTTGTGAAAAATCCAAGTGTACTACTCTAACGATTGGTCCGAGCGCCGATTTCAGAATATAATAATAATAAACCCTTAGGTTTTTATTTGATCAATATGATGCCTTTTAAAGTCCTTTGCTATTCCTCGGACTAAGCTCGGATTGATTTGAAGCAAACTTAGGTCACCGGGATTTCTGAGTCCGAGTTGAGTGAGAGCTATGTCTCGATTCTCGAAATACAGCTAGCCCTTTTGGGATTCATTGGTGGCCCTCGACCGAGAATTCTCTCTAACTTCAAGTAACCTTTGGATTGAGCAGTTGGGTGAACGTTCGCTTGATCATATAAAAATAAAGATAGCTCTAAGGCCTTTGCAAGTAGTCCTCGAGTGAGAGCCTGCTCGAACTCGGGTAGCCCCGATTTGAGTGACAATTTGTTTGAACTTGAAAATAAAGATAGACCTAAGGCTTCATACATAGTCCCCGAGTGAGAACTGGCTCGAACTCGGGCAGCCCTTGGGCTTAAAATAATTGAGAGAGCGTCTGCTCGAACTTGAGATGAAGATAGCCCTAAGGATTTGTTAATAATCCCTGAGTGAGAACTGACTCGAACTCGGGTAGCCCTTGGGCTTAAAATAACCGAGAGAGAATTTGCTCGAACATGAGATGAAGATAGCCCTGAGGCTTTGTTAATAGTCCCTGAGTGAGAACTGGCTCGAACTCGGGTAGCCCTTGGGCTTAAAATAATCGAGAGAGCGTTTGCTCAAACTTGAGATGAAGATAGCCCCGAGGCTTTGTTAATAGTCCCCAAGTGAGAACTGGCTCGAACTCGGGTAGCCCTTGGGCTTAAAATAATCGAGAGAGTGTTTGCTCGAACTTGAGATGAAGATAGTCCTGAGGCTTTGTTAATAGTCCCCGAGTGAACTGGATCGAACTCAGGTAGCCCTTGGGTTAAATAATCGAGTGAGTGTTCGCTCGAACTCGGGAGAAAGATAGCCTTGAGGCTTTATAAATAGTTCCAGAGTGAGAACCTGCTCGAAATCGGGTAGCCCTTGGGCTAAATAATCGAGTGAGCGTTCGCTCGAACTCGAGAGAAAGATAGCCCTGAGGCTTTATAAATAGTCCCCAAGTGAGAACCTGCTCGAACTCGGGTAGCCCTTGGGCTAGATAGTTGAATGAGTGTCTATTCGAACCCACGCAGATTGTCCTTAGTACTCTCTGACAAAACTGGTTCCTGATGCCTGGGTCCTGACGTCATCATCATGATATAAGTGGTTGAGGTGACTGAAGGGTTGCTTTTTGTACGATTTCCAAAAATCATTAATTGCAGGCGGCCGACGGTCGGTCTTTTAGCTTCCCTAGAACGTTTAAATGAACTTTATAAATAGACAAACCTCAAAACCTCGCAGATTCTGCTCTCTCCGTGCTTCCAAAATTTTGTTTTGCCCTTTTCAATTTCCTTGAACTCTCCCTTCTTTTTTCTAACAATATTTCCCGTCTTCTTTGATTTTCCGCTTTAGAAATGGCAAAACCTCTAAAACTGTTCCTCAAAAGGAAAAAGCTTCATCGTCTTCTCGAACGACCAAAGGTAAACCGTTAGTTCCTCCTAGTATCGAGGAGTGTACTCTCGGGCCTTGCAATACATCTTCTGATTTCCAGGTCAAAAACCCCTCCTCTGTTCCGGGACGATGTGAACCCATGTCTCGATATATCGGTTTAATAATTGAGATCGAGAAAGTGAAGGCCAACTGCCGTTGGGGAAGGCGGTGCAAGTAGAGATTCCTTCACGAGGAGAAGACATGATCAAGGACAAGGCCGATTTCCTCAGTGTATACACATAACCTTTCACCTTAGGCCCGATAGAAGCCTCTTTACCATCGATAGATCCAGTGATCCTCGATTTCTGCAGCCAATATCAGGTGACACTTGGACAAATCTATCCATCATTCTAGCGCATTGTTTATATGATTAGGTATTTCTCAAACACTGTTGAGGGGATGCCTTTTACCCTCGACCATCTAATTAGACTGTATAGCCCCCGACTTTATCGAGGTGGCCTGATTAAGCTGAAACGTCGATCCCCGAAGGCCTTTTTTGCTAGCATCGATGAAGATAAGGAACGAGGGTGGATGAGCCGCTTTGTCCGAGTCAGGACCTCGGACCTGATCCCTGCTGAGAGAATGCCATTCCCCGAGAAATGGAATATAAATCGTAACTAAACATGTTTCGCTGATTGGATACCTTTTCTTGACTTTGTATTAACTTTCTTCGATGATACAGCTGTCGAGTGGTACCGCGGTGCTGTCAACAATCTGCCCATATGCTAAGCGCGTGTGGTGCGATCTAGCTAAGACCCGTTGGGAGGCTAAAAGTCATGGTGAGTTTTTATCACTGTTCATACTTGAGCTCTTTAGAGAAGATATCTCTCGCTAGTACTCTCATCCTTTGTGCCTATGCAGGCCTTGGAGAGGCCGTTTTGATGAGGGAACCCCTGCTTGGGGAAGAAAATACCCCGAATCCTGCTAAGGAGAAAAAGAGAAAGAAGAAATCACCGGCCGGGTTCCCGAAGCCAAAAAAGGCTAAAGTTCAAAAGCCCGAGGCCGATTCAGTGGCCTCAACTCGGGAGGCGGCCGAAAGTGTTTGTGCCGAGGGCGAAGAGAGTGATGACTGCCCGCTGGTACTTGGGGGGAGAAGAAGTACTGCTGCCTCGAAATCTACCGAGCTGAAGGTGACTAAGCCGGCGGCTATTGGAACTGAGGCCGCCGAGGTGGTCCCGACCCGAGCTGAGGGAATTGTAAAAGGGGGCTTAGACGAAGTCCCTGGGCCGACCAACGACCAAAACACATCGGGTGCCGAGGGGCACCTGGTTGATGAACCTGAAGAAACAAATGATGAAGGCCCTCGTAGGAGGGAGAGGGCCCCCAACGACCCAGTCGAGGTGATCAACATAGATGAGCCTCTGCCGGGCCTACCATTCTCTCCTGGGCAAATACGGGATGCCCAAGGTATGAAAACTCCCGTCGTGGGGGCATCCCCTGGGGAGAATAGTATGTTTGGAGGATATTTTGCTGGGGTTGAGGAAGGCCTCGATATCGATGCCTCATTGATCTTTGAAGAAGCCGAGAAGCTTCGACAACAGGTAATCTTGGTTTGACCGCTGTATTTTGAGTTTCGATTCTTGCTTTCCCGACTCTCTTCTTCTATGTTTTCATGCCTTAAAGCTCTCCAACCAAGCCTTTTCCAAGTCACAAGCAGAGTTGTCTCATTGTGAGGACAAATTTTGGAAGCTCGTTTCCGAATTGGACGAACTTAAGGCCCTTTACGCCCAAAAGGAGGGGGAGCTAGGTGACCTTCGAGCTCATTTGGAGAGGATATCTCGAGAGCGGTCCGATCTCGATGAGCAGGTAATACGACCTTCGTGGGATTATTTTTGTGCTTCAGTCAAATGAGCGTTTGATGCCTTAATTTGACTTTTTCAGCTCAAGCAAAAAGATGATCTAATGCAAGAGGAGCTTAGAGTCAGAGATACCGAAATCCTTGGGCTCACTACTGGAAAATTCACCTATGGCTACGCATGGAAAATCGTTGCAACAGATAGGTAAACCATTGCCATAGAGGTATTGCAACGGTTCAGTGCTCGTTCCACAAGTTGGCGTTACTATAGAGCTTATGGAACGGTTTTTGGAACGGTTCAGTTAACCGTTGCTATAGTATAGTCTCTCGCAACGGTTTTCCCTCTTCCTGTTGGAACGATTATTCTTATCAACTGCAACGGTTAATTTCCGTTACCATAACGTTAAATGCAACGGTCAATAACCGTTACTATATCTATTAAACTGTTACGGCTATTATAGAAATGGCAATGATTTCTTTAAGATATTACAACAGTTGAACTACCTATTGCAACGATTTTTAGATTATTTTGGAACGGTTTGCAGGTCCTATGGCAACGGTTCTATTAGCTATTGTAACAGTTTAATTGAATTGAAAATATTGCCCCATGTTGTAAATAAAGATTTACATATATATATATATATATATATATATATATATATATACATACAATAAACTATAAAATACTAAAATTTATATAAATAACAAAATGAAACTATTCATAATCCAAATTGTCCAACAAGATAATAAATCCATAGATAGTGATGAAATGTTACCAAGTACATACATTTGATATTTCAAGAGTTAAAAGTTTTAAAATGTCTTGATAAGAAACATTCCTAGAAACCGCCACATGCATCTACAACAATCAATAATTCAAAATTCTCTTAAGGGCTAGATCTTCATCACCGCCTCCGTCTTCCATTTCTACTCCACCTACAAAAGAGTATAAATAAAGTCATTATCCCTTCCAGAGAATCCTATCTAAAAATTCATTTGGTCCACAAAACCAAGGGTAAAAAGAAAGTATAAAATTCTGCATTAAACCCCAAAATTGAATGGCAAAATGTTGGTTTATCCCATAATATACGGACAAAGATATTCCGGAGATAAGGCATCATCAACACATAAAAAGATACTCCCAAGAATGCAAAATTCCAAAAAACACACAATGCAAGAAGTACAAAAAGACACACGTCTACCACACGCCAATTAATAAGGCAAATAACTAAATCAACTTAACAAGTAATTTAGAACTCAACTTAACAGATCAGTGAAGAGGAAAGATAGTAAAGATTACATGTTTCATTTGGAAAGAACCAAGAATCTCCTAGAGACATTAAGAACCCATCTCTGACGAATTCTATTTGACAATAATGGAATAAGACTTCTGACATTATTTTTTAAAAGTAAATTGTGTGTATGTATTAATAAAATTAAGGTGTCAAACGTATGCTATTACTCACATTCATGGAGGTTTAATACTCTTGTACTTGACTGGTTAGCTGGGAAGTCACCTTTAGATCTATCTAGCAGCTACGTAATTCCTGTAGGTAATGTATCAACTCAAGAGGATGGCAAGAGGATGGCAAGATTGGTAACTGAGCAGCCCTGTACTGGATGTCGCAGCTACGTAATTCCTACAGGCAATGTATCATCTCCATATCTGATTCAAGCAGATTTTTAAAGAGCCAATGGAAAAATTTCTGAGGCAGAAACGGAAATATACATATAGCATCGGCTCATACACAACGACCATTTTAAAATAGACATCGCTGGTAATCAGTAAATCGACGAATTTTCATAAACACATAATATGCACATAAACAGAAATCATTAAATCAAATTGATAATTGAGATTGCGGCGAGTGCAGTTGAAGAGATGCGGGAGAAGAGGGGACAGTGACAAAACAATTGTCAAGAATGGGGGACTTTAGACTGTCCCAGTAGAGTATTGCCAAGGCATATAACTCGATTTTTCATGGAAGTTCTGCTTAAATAACTAATTATGTTTGATATCTGAACCAAAATCATGGCATAGACTTTAGAGTGTACCGATCTCAAATGTCATTAAAAGGTACTACAGAGGACAAGAAGTGTGCAAAGCAGAAACAGTTAAATCACCCAAGAAGTATGCAAAGCAGAAACAGTTAGAATATTCAAGGACAAAATGACACAGATATTACATTCTAAGGCAGGTGTTCAGGACAACTAGATCTAAAACAGCTGCAAATATCGCCCAAAAATACAGCAAAACAGATGCAAATATCGCCCAAAAATGCAGCAAAATAGCTAAAGAAATTACGTTCCCAAAGCTTCTGCAAAATTCAGTAATTCTCCTTCCGAAACCAACACAAAAATACGGCAAAACCCAGCTAAGAAGCCAGTCGTGCAAACTTATAATAAGCTTGATCATCCTACTGCTACAGCTAGTAATTCAACTAATAAAACCATCTGATCTTAATGCTAAAGTTGTGAATCATGAATTGCAAGAACATATGGTACTGAAGTGTTGGAGGGTGCAACTGATAATAGCACTGATGATATCGCCCACTGATGATAATATCCAGAAGATGGGCTATCCCCCTTCTTATTCATTGGCATATACGGAAAGCAAGATGCAAAAAGAAAATATGAATGTGAAAGAATTTATGTAACAAGAGCTATCCAACAAATTTGTTGTGATGCAACCATCATCATCCATAAACAGTTCGGCCAGATTGAGGTCACTACTCCCTAGAATACTCTGGTTACACAAGCTGAAAGGGCTACTCCGCAGATGAAGATAATCAAAGTACTGTGGAAATTTCCCCTAGAAAGCGCAACTAAAATAAGTACTGATGCTAGTACTACCTTTTAGAAGCAGATATCAGAAGCTACAGGCTATGTTGAGACATCAACCAGCTGCAGAAACTTCTGATTCTAAAACTACAGCTGGTAAACAAACTTTATCCATGATGTCGTCGGCAACAAAACAACCAGAAGGAGGGGCTGACCACACAAGAGAACAACATGAAGACACGATGAGGGAAGAGGAGTTAAGTGATGAACTTGTCCATAATTTAAACGAGCTAAACACTCAAGGATCTGGTTCGTTAACACGACAAGGTGGTATAGCAAAGGAAGGGGCAAGTAGCATTTAGATTTTAGATTCATATTTCAATTTTTGCCTTAATCTACAATCATAATACTCCTTTCAACGCGGGGTCTAGTGAATTCTGCGTTTTGATCAAGCAGCATAAATATATTGAAAATAGGCATAATTATATGAACATAAATGTCATTCTAATTGGTAAAGTTAAATTGAAAGTCGCTTTCATTACAAGTAAGGAATCTTAATTCCCTTTAAGTTGCAAATGTAGCAGTTAAAAGTGTTCAAGCTTAAACTTTTATCCTGCACCTTTATCTAATTAAAATCTAAACCACAAATTATCTATTAATGCTACGACCATTTCCAGCAGCCAAAAGGACATAACAACTCCAATAACAACAGTTCCACAACTAAATTACCAACAAAAAAATAAAACAGTTCCAAAACCAATAATTTTGCACTGGAAATTATTTTCGACCCCAACAAAAATAATTACAAAAGCAGAAAAATGCACTGGAAATAGCAGAAATCAAACAGATTCTGCAAAGTAAATCTTTAGCTCCCATTCTTTTCCACGCCAATAAGTTTCCCAAGTATTGAAACATGTCTGCTCTTTCTAACTAGATGCTCACAACCATTGTTCGAAATAGTTCCCAAATTTTTTACAAGGACAGTCAATTAATCGAGTTAATAAACAAAATAAACATGAATTTCGACAAATCGATAGGAATACAACAGATCTGCAAAACCATATAAAAGGGGGAACCACATTGTATGCAGCTGAAAAAAATAGTACNATTGTATGCAAGCTGTAAAAAAAATAGTACGAGTTAAAAAATTAATTACTGTAAGAGATAAAATATAAAAATAACAGTTACCAAATCAAAAAATAATAAGAGTTTCAGAAAATAATACTCAAGAAGAGCTGAAGGTTACCCGAATTACACGTACGAAGTGGAAACTCGATGCGAACTAGTAAATAAGTAGAAACTCGATGCTAGGGTTTTTGAAAGGAAAATGAATTTTGAGTAATTGAGAAAACAGAGAGGAACTGAAAATGAAAAGTAAAATACTACTCCAGAAAACTTACGGAAAGCGAGCGAGTCGGTAATGGCGCTGACAAGCGAGAAGAGCTGTTGACTGGAGGAGATCGTATTGGAGGAGATGGTAATTTGGAGCTGCTCTAATGGCTATCTTCTGCAGCATTTTGACTGCCTTTTGACTGAGATTTCGACCGATTTTCAGAGGTGACTGTCTTGAGGTCTTTTTGACTGATTTTCGCTAGGGTATTTGGGGATGCTTTTTGACTGATTTCAAGGTGATTTGGGGTAGTTTTTGCTGATTTTTTGTGGTGAAGATGACTGGAGGAGATTCCGATCTCCTTGTAATTTCCGATAATGATCTTGTACCCTAATTTTAGGGGTTTACATATTTCATAGTAGTATTTTATTAGGTATAAAAACAAAAAAATAAAAAATAAAAATCAGATGGTGGGCCCCTTTCATTTTAGCGGGTATAGAAAATTTGGGTGAAAAATAAGGTGGGAATTAACGACCGTAACAATAGATATAACCGTTACCATAGATTGATTTATTGCTACGGTTCTACAAAACGTTGCCATATATACCTCTATCGGAACGGTTTTAAGACTATTGCAACGGTTCAGTTGCTAAGTGTCATGGTAGTTCCAATAATATTTTGTAACGGGTAAAACCGTAACAATAGACTACCTATAGCAACCGTTACTGATCCATAGCAATAAAAAGCGTTGCCATGGCTCCAATTTCTAGTAGTGGCTGAAGCAGCGCATGGATGAGTTGTCTTCCGATAAAGAAACTCTTCGAGAGAAGCCGACCTCGGTTGAGTGCCAACTTCAAGGGGTGAGAGGAGAAAGCCTCAAGTATAAAGATCTCTATACTGAATTAGTTGTTGATCTATCTGTAGCTAAGTTCGAAGCTACTGCGCCCATATCCTCATACCGACAAGATGCTACTGCTGCAAATGCTCAAGCCAGGAATGTATCCGAAGAGGCCGAGCTTAAATTGTCCCGAGCCATGGAACATGCCCGATTAAGATCTCCGAGACAGCTCTCGAGGATGTATGTGCATGGGGCATCGATTTGTCTGCCGAGATTGAGAGGGTGAAGGCCCTGGAGGAAGAATCGTCAACTCTGCTTTCTTCCGATAATGGTTGAGCTAGTGATTCGACCAGTGGCTCGGAGGATGATGAAGACGAAGGTGAAGTCCCCGAGGGGGAGGAGGTCGTCGATGTTCCGAGGTCGAAGACCAGGCCGTTGAAGGCAGAACTTCCGAGGGAGCTTCGTCTTGTCAAGTAACCCCGGTGGTAGATTAGGTTTTCATTTGTTGCTTTTTGTGTAAGGGCTCCAGGCGCGAGCCTTGTAAATACGTCTTCGTGAAACTTTACCATATACATATGGATTTTCGCTTTTCGTCATTTCTTGTTTTCCTTTTGCCTTTTTGGAATAAATTTCGATGCTTGTCGATAACCAGTTTGGTGTGTCGGACTTATGATGCAAACCCCTCAGGTTTTCATGCTCGATGAGTGATTGATAATAGTTGACCTTTTTAGGGCTTGGACCTCGAATCAAGTTTTGACTCAGGCTCGTTGACCCTTAGGTTTTCAATATATTGGCCCTTAGGCTCTTTGGGCTGGCCCTTAGGCTCTTACGCATTGGCCCTTAGGCTCTTTAGGCTGGCCCTTAGGTTAGGCTGGCCCTTAGGCTCTTACGCATTGGCCCTTAGGCTCTTTATGCTGGCCCTTAGGCTCTTATGCATTGGCCCTTAGGCTCATTTTATATTGGGTCGATAAGATTTGATTATTCCTTGGCATGCTTTATGTTCGTCCGACTCTTCGACAGCTCAAAAGAGAACCTCGATTATGAATCGATATGTTACAATAGCTGAGTACCTCGGGAGGCTCGCTCGAAGGTTGAGTTTTCAAAACCTTTTCATCGAAGGCTGATTGTTTTTGAAGCCTTCTTATTGTTCGGAGTTGATATGATCAAAGCTCTTTGCTTATGCCGAGGGTATGATTAACCAGTTCTTTTCGACGTATTTTCTAAGTATTTGGAGGCCTTTAGTTTTATGGCGGCAGTCGGATGTCTCCCAACCGCGTTAATTTGGCCGTAGCCTTTTAGTTCGACCGTAGTCTTTATGTTTGGCCGTAGCCTTTAGTCCCCGTGTGTGGTGACCTTGGCGTCTATATCGAGGGTATGCCTTTTTAGGGGTCTTATAAGTTCGATATATAGCCTTGGACTTAATATCGGGGTTATGCCTTTTTAAGGTCTTACAAAATTTGAGTATGCCTTGTTGAGGTCTTATAAGCTCGGTATTGCCTCATTGAGGTCTTATGAGTTCGGAATTGCCTCATTGAGGTCTTATGAGCTTGGTCATGCCTTGCTAAGGTCTTACAGATTTAATGTTGCCTCACTTAGGGCTTATGAGCTCGAAGTTGCCTGATCGAGGTCTTACGAATTTGAGTTTTCGATGGCCCGATGAACTGACTGTCGATGACAGTCCCCGATTGTTCGAGAGTTTCTGTCCCTTGAGCCGTTTTCTGAGAAAGTAGTGAACTTCTTTGAGGCACAAAGTTTTTTGATAAACAAAAGGGGCTTCCTCAATCACGTGATATAAGTACATGTTTTTTGCCTTTGGAGGCTCGATTATTCTACATGGACATGGTTCATTTGACCGTTTGGCCCAATGCAACATTCTCCTATCGAGGTCCTCCTAGGCGTAGCTCGGTTTCTTACAAGGGGTGACCTCCTGGGGTGATGCCCCCCAGTATTTGAGGTTGATCGAAGAGAAGACTTGAATACTTGATGAGTTCTCCTTAGGTAGCATACGAATGTTGCCTCGTTAAAAACCTCTCCGGTACAACCCGTTCGGGATAAAATCCGGTCTAAGGAAAAAAGAGCGCAACGCATGCTTTAAAACACAAGGTCTTTGAGCTGGAGGGCGCTTCGATTCCTCTCAATCGAATACCTGCAATAAGTTGGTATAAAACATAAATGAAAAGGGAGAGGGTTTGTACCTTAATAATGGCATTCGAGCCTCGATAAATTTCAATTGCTTGTTTCAGGGACGCGACACGGTCCTTTGTTCCCTTATTTGGATGTAACTGAGAATGTCGGTTATGGTTGAATCCGGCTGTTTGTTTGTCTAAATGCTCATTCGAGGTGGAGGGTGTCGATGCTGGTGCCATGTCGTGCACCGCGAACATCTCCCTTGCTGCATGCTGCTCCCCGTACACTGGCTTTACTCTATCCTGTCACACCTCCTTTCCTACCCGGAAGGGTATAGGGGAGTTTTTTCAATTAAAGTGACAATAATCGAAACATGATTATTTATTCAAATTCAGAGTCGCCACTTGGGATAATTTATGGTGTCCCAAGTCACCGGTTTAAAATCCTGAACCGAGGAAAGCTTTGACTGTTATTTATGGTCTGCAAACACAGAAATCCAGGTAAGAAATTCTGTTAACCCGGGACAAGGTGTTAGGCATTCCCGGGTTCCGTGGTTTTAGCACGGTCGCTTCACTATTAATAATTGGCCTAATTATCTGATTAATTACATATTTAAAACTTATGTGCATTTTATTCCTTTGAACCGCTTTTAACATTTATGGAATTATTTTCTGAAACAAGGCACGATGTCGTACACTTGTCATTTTGATATGCATTGCAAACAGCGTCACATGAAATGCACCCGCGATTTACAACGTGTTTATTTTATTATTAGTCGAAATCGTGGTCGGGTCACATGAAATGCACACCCGAATTTGGATATATGTATCATGACCATGCCACGGGAACCGTATCCATAGTCATGATGATTACTTATTTAAACCCATGCTCAAATTCAATTCATGCTCAAGTTCTTTTAATTTACTTTAACCCAACCCCATGAGCTATTTCAAGCAATTTATCCAAACTGTCCACACAAATAAAGGCAAGGGAAACATCAGACAAAGTAACTATTTAAAAGACACATAATATTTAGTAGCAAATGGACGATCAGACATAGAACACCAAGAATTACTTATAGGAGGGGAAAGGAAAGATAAAGAAAAATAAATTAAAGCATTGATAAGCACCATAACCCTTTATTAATCCCAGTACATGTATATTACCTCTCGATTTGCTAAAAATAGAAAATTCCCAAATGACATCTAACCAGTAATCCTACCGTAATTCAAGTCCAAAAAAGATCACAAATCAGTTATGTAGGCTAATCGGTTTACTTTCACCTAATGTAACTTCTCTGCGAATGAATTTCACTCGCAGGCAAATACCTACTAGTTTTAAATCCCCTCCTAAATTCCTAAAGCATGTGGACAGTAGACTATGATTCCATTTCAGGGGGAAAACAACCTTCAATTTTCATTTTTATTTTCGCAAAACAAATGTCTGCCAGAAGCCTACCGAGACTTTAACTCATGGATTTCATATTTGAAGCCTAGCAAGGAAAACCAATAAACATATTTCTTTGCCTTAGTGAAATTACTCCAAGTTCACACATAGATTCAGCATAAGCCTGTAAACTATAATCTTTAGAAATTCATAAACTCCAACCATCATTAGTATTTGGATTAACACCCACAAGCATCAAGGATAATAGGGAAGAAATTGAACCTGAAAGAGCTCCCTTTAATATTAGGTAAGATGATCAGGAAAAGTACACGCGAATCCGATTGTGCTAATTTCAGCAGCGAGCCAATTCAAAATAGCAAAATGAACCGCTACCCCGACTGGAACCACGAACGTCAACAGAAAATCGACCACGGGCTGTAATCTCGAGTTGGTGTTTCAATAGATTCTGAGGTTGTTTCATTGCGTTTCAAAGCTGGAGTTCTTGACCGGTTTTCATGGCTTTTCAGGGATGGTTTTAATGTTATTTTGAGCTGTCTTGTGGTTTAATGTTGAGTGTTACCTCTTCAACTTTTTACACTGTCACTGTTTCGCCCCTCTCTGTTTGTCCGTTCCTTTCTGCTTCTTTTTGTTTCGCACACACACGCTAACACTAACACATAAAAAGTTGAGTACTCAAAATGTAGTCATGTACAAATTTATATATCCACCAACTACGCACAAAAGATGCTTGAACAGAAGATGACGATTACAGGTTTGGTAATATAAGTTGCAAGGAAAATGCTCAGATGGATAAATACTTAGTATGTACTCCCTCCGGTTCACAATAAGTGTCCAATTTGCTTTTAGCACACCCATTAAGAAAATATTAAATCCTATACAAAAATACCTAGTATGACTAAACTACCCCTAAACATTTAATGTGAGGAGTAAGAAAACTTTTTAGGGATATGTACATAGGAGTTATTTTGTAAAAACAAATTGAATTCTTTCTTGATTACATAACTAGACACTTATTTTGAACCAAAATAAAAAAGTAAATTGGACACTTATTGTGAACCGGAGGGAGTATTTTCTTAATGGGCGTGCTAAAAGTAAAATGGACATTTATTGTGAACGAGTAACAAATATCCCAGACCCAAGAAACACATTACAGAATTTCTGGGTATTTTCACATCAATAAAGCAGAGAAAACTAAAAGTCATCACATGCTTTCAAATTAATTACGTATATTATAGGTATCTTAAAGATCCAACAGCATTAAAGTTTGTTAGACAGTGCTCCTCTAAAACAATGCTTATCGTGGTTGGGAAACAAGTTATCCTATAATTAATTATTTTAGGATTAATTATTTTGAGATTAGTTATTCCACCTTCTTATGGGTGCAAAAAAACACTACAAATTTGGAATTAATTATACCATGATTATATTTCAACCAAACGTAGAATAAACTAATCTCAAATTTAATCCTGGGATTAATTATCCCTCATCCCTCATACCAAACGAGCCACGGAGGACAAGCACTAACGCTTCCCTCTTTCCTCAACCTTCTCATTCCATTACACATGGCCTAAAAATTCAAAATTATATGCTATTTAAAATGTTAATCAACTGTACTTTTCAAGTCCTTTTGCTTTTCCATTCTTTCTTGATTAATCCAAAGAGATGCAAATTGTTAACAAAATTATTACCTCTTTGAAAATTCAAAGAAACTGCCTTTCCTTTATAATATTCCAAACTCAAGAAACACATTACAGAATTTCTGAATCAATAAAAACAGAGGAAATAAATTAAAACTTAACTAAATGCTTCATACAACTTCCATCAAGTTGCATATCATAAAACAGAAATTTTACATAATACAAATGTTAAAAACACACTTCCTCAACAACAGTGAGAAGAGACAGAAATATCATAGAAAATATCATAAAAATCCATAGTATTATAAAAGTAGCAAACTTTATTACATAGTGCTCCTCTATACAAAACTGAAGGATAAGCACTTATCCTTCCTTCTCTTCCTCAACCTTTCATATTCAAAAAACATATAAAAGTGGGAAAAAGCATATAGATTTTTACATAGCCGCTATCTTTTTTTTTTTTTTCTCACAATACATAGGAGATTCATTATCCTCACAAGATTCTTCTCCACAATACAGTACCATAGAGAAAAAAGCTACACCTCGAGTAGCCCCTTCTATATTTTTCTTTTTCCTCATTCTCTTCCTTTTTCACATAGGCCATTTCAATCTTCAAACATTTGGAGCTGGTGACATTTTCTGGTATATATACAGCAGAAGCAAACAAGTTCTGTTCTGCTAGTATTTATAGGATAGTTAATAAAACACTATTAATCAGCCATTGATCCTCCATTAATTACCCATGGGTGTCCTGCAAGTAACAAATATAAGATCAAAATCAGCTGGAGTTGACCAAAAGTCAAACTAAAATGAAAGCCAAAAAAGGGCCAAAAATACTTACTCAGGACTTGTTCAGCTGAAAACCTTCTAGAAACATCCTTACAGATCATCTTCCTCAACAAATCCTTAGCTTCAGGCGAAACCGACCTAAAATTCCTAGTGGGAAATCTCAAATTTGCCCTTAAAACAGCCTGAAATGTCTCAGTCGGAGTTTCGCCGTAAAAAGGTGGAACCCCAGAAAGCATAATATACAAAATAACACCGGCGCTCCACACATCCACTTTCTCATTGTATTCTTTACCCATTAAAACCTCCGGCGCCACGTAATACGGCGTACCCACCACCCCACTCATCAACCCCTCCTCACACCCGACAAACCACTCCGCAGATCCAAAATCAGCCAATTTCAACCTGTCCTGAGAATCAAAAAGGATATTATCCGGCTTAATATCGCGGTGAGCCACCCCCATTTTGTGACAGTGATTAATGGCGGAAATTAATTGGACCAGAATGCTAGCGGCGGCGCGTTCGGATAACGGCCCGGTGGAAACTCTCTCGTAAAGATCGTTGTTCGGGCAGAGGTCGGTTACCATGTGAAGGAAGTTTTCATCTTCGTAGATTTTGTAGAGGTGAAGAATGTTTGGGCTACCGGAAAGGAGCTGCAGAATCTTGGGCTCTTTGTCGAGGCACTCACGGTCGGTGGAATCGAGGAGGAGGGATTTTTCGATGGATTTACAGGCGAAGGAATGACCGGTGACCGGAGAAAAGCAGCGGTAGACGGTACCGAATCTACCACGGCCGATTTCTTCGCAGATTTGGAAGTCGCTTTTCAAGGCTTGGCTCATATTATTTAGGCTTTTTTGTTTGGTCTTTGGGGTTTAGTTAAAGGAAAGAGGGTTGTATTTATAAAGACAGAGTGGGGAGGGGTTTTTGTGGAAATTCTGTAAAACCGAATATTCGCATAATGCGCTGGTAGGTTTTACTTGGAGGACAGAAGGAGAGAGATATTCAGGTGAAATTTTGATTTTGGTCTCACGCCACTTGTGTCGGTTAATATAATTTTTAAAAATACTTATATTAAGAGCCCGTTTGGCGTAAGAAATGTTTACTCTTTTCTTCCGAATATTTTTTACTTTTTTTCAAAATCTGTGTTTGGCCGTACAATTTTCAAGTTTCACTTGACGATGAATTTTGAAATTTTTTAAAAATTTAAAAAACTCCAAAAAGGTATTTTTTAAAATTTTCACTCAGATCACTCACAAAAATTTAAAAACAACCCAAAATTATATTCATGTCCAAACACAACTCTAATTTTCAAATACCATTTTCACTTGAAATAACTTTTTATTTTGAAATTCAATTCTTATGTCCAAACACCTACTAAGTCGCTCCCAAAATAATAGTCAGAAAAATCTATATTATATGTATTTACAAGTGTATTATATCTATCTATCTATACTATATTAAAAGCACGAAAGCCCTTAGCGAAATATCGTTCGCTTTTTTTACCCATTAAAACTATGTTTCACAATGGACATAATTGTAATTTATATTATTTTTCTAATATTTAAAACTTTATCAACTAAATATTTTGTTACTAAATCTTTCCTTATTGAATAGGTAAGAGATCCTAAAATTTAGGATCATTATCACATCCTAATTAAAGTTTCCCAAACGTATATAAATGGTGCCATTGTGACTCAAGGTTTCTATTTTTCGTTGTATTATTCTTTTACTCTAATATATTCAAATTCGAATATTTACACTCTAATAAAATGGTTAGAGAAATAATTAAATTTAGAATTTAATATAACCAAATGCTGGTTGATTTTGTATGTTTTAGACTAGATTATATTGAAAAGAATATAATTTAATTACCTTTCTAATATTAGGACTTTAAACTAACCTAAAAAATTTCAAGCGAATCTCAAACCGATATGTCTATCTTTTGAACATAAAATTCTTATTAGATAAAAATATAGTTACAATTAAACATTAGTGTAAATGTAGTTAAACAATTTAAAATTTGGGATGAACTAATATTACGAATTTGAATTAACAAAAAGTATGTTTCTTAATGTTGAGAATAAATAATAATTAAATATGTGAATTAACTATTTGTCAAAATTCAATACCTTAATGAAATGTTGTTCGTCTTTTTAACACTTTTAAAATAGAGTTATATTGGATAAAATAGTCATTTTATTATTTGTAATATTTAGCACTTTGAAATCAATTAAAAATTTTCTTAATAAGGTTTTTCTTACTTGAATTACCACATATTAAATCAATCATAATATTGAGGATATCAAAATTAATTAAAATTTATCTTATGTAAATCAAATAATTTTGAAAAAAGATGTTTTGCTCTTTTCGGCTCTTTTCCTCCATACTTATTTTTTTTGTAAGTACATACACATTAGGAATGTACATGTCATATTTTTATAAAGCATTTCAAAGTTTCGTCCAATATACACTTTTTCTTAAATTAAATAATCAAATTTTTCTGAAAAATATACTTATGCCATTAAAGTGTAGTCTATTTTTTAATTATAATATCTTTAATGTTAATATCTTTAATATTTAGAGATTTAAAACCAACTAAAATTTTATTTATTGATTATAATTGTAAAAATATATTCTAAATGAGTAAAATTTCCTCGGAGTTTGCAAACACTTAATATATATTTTATTTTATAATTTAAATACATTATTCAATACTTATCTTATTTTTTAACCTATTTACTCGTTGACATGGAAAACACGCGCAAAGCACGTACTCTAAAACTAGTTATGTTTACCCTGGAATCCGGATAACAATTGAATTTATATGGGGTTTTAAGGATCCGTGAACTAAAAGATACAAAAGGTTTGGATTGAGGAAAATAAAAGATAAAGACTCAACAATTGCTGCTAAAGTAAATAATCGCAGAATATAATATTGCTTAGAACAATTGTGCTTGATAGCGTACAAGAATTGAGAGAGATGGTCCCGTAGTGTAATGGTTTCCGATGCCCTCTTTATGGGGTCTTCTCCCCTTTTATACATTCTGATTAAAGGTAAAAATAAGGTAGGTAAATTAATTACATCGTGGATCCCTGTAATTACGCCTTAATGGCCTGAAGTGGTTGAGAAAATCACGTTTGGGCGAGATATCCGGCGACGCTTGGTTATCCGTTACGAGTCCGGCTTCCGACCTTGTGTGTTTCTCCATCCGGTGGTGACTCATATCGAGCTCTGCAACGGTCTCGAAATGACTCGACCTCGGTTGTTGACGTGGCCGTCGTTCTACCTTGCATCCAGGTCGGGTTCGATGGCCCCGACTTGCCCCGGACCGGACCCAACCCGGTCGGGCTCAAGCAAAAAGGGTATCACCCAATACAGATAGTCCCCTCGTTTATTAGAGAGTAATGATAATAAACGATATGATCGGTGACGTGATGCCCGTGACGTATGGCCATACGCCAGCTGAAAAAGCCATCGAGTGCTCTGACCACGTCTGCTGCAGGCATTTAATGCTTCTCTTAATTATCTGTCGCTTCGTGTCTGTAACTTCGCGATTCGTGCCGCCGCCTCATGGGAAAAGTATAAACGACCCTTCCAGGTTCAACATTTCTTATCTTTCTCAAATTTTGCGTTGGTTGTATTTTCTTTTCATCTCTTCGTAAAGCTTCAAGAAATGGCGAAAACTTCACAAAGTGTTCCTTCTAGACCAAGCTCGGCCGTGAGCCCCGCTAGATCTGATGAACCTGCGCCAGAACCCCCATTGAAAGCTTTCACACCGACTGGTTGCTCGGTATCTGCCGACTTCCAGGTTGAAAACCCATCATCGGTCCTGGGCTGCGGCGAACCGGCATCGGAGTATATCAGTCTAATCACTCCCGGTTGCCTAGACCGGGTGAGGGCTGAATNATTTTGTAAAAACAAATTGAATTCTTTCTTGATTACATAACTGGACACTTATTTTGAACCAAAATGAAAAAGCAAATTGGACACTTATTGTGAACCGGAGGGAGTATTTGTATTCTATTTTATGTAACAGAGAAAGGGTGTAGGGGTTGGTCTATTCTCTTCTTCCCGTTTTTGGTGTGCAGCTGTGTCTTTTTTGAGAAGGAAGAAGAAGATGGGCGCTGCTGTGTGTGTTCTCTTGTGTATTATGTGCTGAAAGGTTTTTTCGTTTTTTTTTTTTGGAGAAAGGTCTAAAAACGGCCGGTCCTCCCCCTCTTGTGGAAAAAAATCTGATCTATATCCAGGGTTGTGTTATTTTTAGGTTAGGGGTGTATGAGCTTAGGAATTATGGGCTTGGGAACTATGGGCTAGATTCGAATTGGACCAAATTTTGGTCAAATTTACCTTTAAAAATGGCCTTTTAACTCTACAAGACTAAAAATATTAATTCCTAAAACAATAACTACAAAATTATGAAATTGTTCCTAATTAATTAATGTAAAATTAAAAATTAAAAGTGAAACTATTTTTGTATTTTTTAAATTTTATGAAGGTATATAAACTAAAAGTAACTATATAAAATATTAATTAACTAAATAAACCCTCTTTGACTGAAAACACGAAGTATTTTCAGACAAAGAACGACGAGACAGGTTTTTTGACCCGACCCTTATTTAGAGAGACCAAAAGCTAAGAGAAAGGAGAATGTGACCGAGCCCTGGTATCTGAGCTGCCTACATATCCTTGGCTATAAAGGAATCAGGCCACGTGTAGTTTAGAAGTAGGAACAGTGATGGAGTGTACCAAGGTGGAGAGCTGATTGAGGTGCCGTTCTGTCGAGGTTCCGGTCCGTGGTCCTGTTATTACATCAAAATTAAAAAATGAAAAAGACTAACTAAGCCTGTCAACTATGAGTTACAAGATTCCTATGTATAAGTCTTCTGAAGCTTGATCTTGAGTCTTGAATGGTTCTTCATGGAGACTTTCGATTTGAACCTTGATGCTTGCTAGCTGCAGGTGCTGATTCATTCTTCCGCGGCTTCTTCGGATCAAAACCGAACACACCGTGCTCGTGACTTCAGTCATGTCTTGAGCAATCCACATCTTGTCTCTGCTTCTGCATTTTTGATTCACTTTCTTTTTTCTTTCTTTCTTTTTTTATTTTTATTCTGGATTGAGACTACTTTTATTGGTCATCTCGGATTGTTGACTCGCATTCTTGCCGCGAGCTTCTGCTACTTCTAACTTGAATTGAATTCTGAAATGAATTCCCTTGTTCTCTAGGTGGGCGCTTGCTACTGACTTGAAACTTGTAGTAATTCCGAAACGAATTCACTTGTTCTCTAGGTGGGTGCATGCAATCAAAATAACAAAACAAACAAAATTTTCTGACCCAGTTTGCACTCGGAAGATTTCTCAGTTGTTAGCAAAACTGTAAACCACGGATGCTATTGATGCAATGATGAGAGTAGACTAACGACTCGACTAGGATGTGTGTCTCCTGTGAGTAAAACCAAGAAAATTTGACTAGCAAATGCATCTACTAAAAATAAAACTTGAATGACCTCTGGTTAGGAAGTGTGTCCCCTACGGGTGAAACTTGGATGAACAAACTAGGAAGTGCGTCTCCTAAGGCTGAACTTAAATGACCCAAACTAGGAAGTGCGTCTCCTAGGGCTGAACTTAAATGACCCAAACTAGGAAGTGCGTCTCCTAGCGGTGAAATCTCAATTTAGGAAGTGCATCTCCTAAAAGTATATATTGAAAAACCCAGACTAGGAAGTGCGTCTCTGTAACGACCCGATCGGTCGTTTTTAGAATTCACGCCCCGACCCCCTATTAACTATTTCCCCTAAGTTCATTTCTGCTATTTTGGTTTGCCGGGACGTTCGGTGTTGAGTTTCGGAGAGTTTTGGGACACTTAGTCCCTAAATGAGAGCTTTAA